GAAGCCTGGGTCTTGCCATAAATAATAAACAGGGACACTATACATATAACCAGCTTTGTAGCCCCAGTGGAGGAAAACACATCATCAAGAAAAATGAAATAAGAAAAAAATATGTGCCCCAAAGCTCCAACTAACAAAATGACAGCATTAAGCAATATCCTGGGGACTGTGGCAGGCACCTCAGGAATGCTCTCAGGAAAATGATGGTGTGTGTCCTCTACGTGAGCCAAACTGGCCCCAAGGAGCCTCCTGGAAAAAGCTGCCCATACAATTGGGCTTTGTTTTTCCTAGGTTAGGGGCTCTGGGCAGAAGTCCCAGGCTACCTACCCCTGCTTACCCTTTGCACTGAAAGAAGTATAGTTTGTTTGCAGGTTGAGCCGTATCAAAGTCAACCAGGACCTCTATCTTCTCTGCAAGGAGAGACAAGAGAAAGAAACTCTGAAATGCTTTGGGGGTAGTTGGCAAAACTACCCAACTTAAAACAGGTCTCTTTGATGATCAGAGATTCCTTGGTAACCAGAGCATGCAACTTTATGGGATGGGTGAAGGACAAGGTGTGGCCAGTGGGCTGAGAGGCAGATTAGAGTTTGCATCATCACAATGGAGAGCATTGGTTGGTCAGTTTTTCTCCACTTGACACGTGCTAGGTTCACCCGGAAGGTGAAACTTCAAATGAAGAACTGCCTCTATCAGCTTGGCCTGTAGGCAAGTCCATGGGGGCGTTTTCATGATTAATGGTTGACGTGGTGTGAATAATATCACCCACGGACTGGTGGGGGTTAGGGTTTTGTTATACACAGGGAAACAGGCTGAGTAAGCCACAAGGGATGAGACAGCAAGCAGCAATCCTCTTTGATGGTTCTGCCTTCAGGTTCCTTCCTTGAGCTCCTACCCTGGCTTCCCTAAACTGTCAGGCAAATAAACCTTTTCCTCCCCAAGTCGTTTTTGTTTAGCGTTTTGTCATAGCAGCAGAAATACAAACTGGCAGAGCCTTACAGGTGACCTTATCCAAATTATTCAGTTCTGTGCTAGAGAGGGCTGAATTTTAGATGTCCAGGACAAGCTCCCACATGTGACTCCACATACTTGCTCTAACTATGGGGAAGCTTTTTTTTTTTTTAACATCTCTGTTAGGAGATAGTAGATCAGTGCTGCTCTATATCATTACAGAAAGAGAGAACAGGCTCCCATCCATCACAAAGAACTTCAGGGTTTAGAAGATTCTGTGTTTCCATCCTCTATGACCTCGTCTCCTGCATAGGGCTGAGAGATGAGGAAGGGGCCATGGTGAGCACACACTCGTCCATAGAACCAGAACTAGCACGGGGGTTCCCTCAGGAGCTGTGAGCTGGCTCAGGGGCCAGGCATCTGGCTTCTTTCCTGGGTGATCCAGGAGGCCAGAGTCTTCAGTCAGCCTCGGGCGCTATGCTGATCGCTGAGTGGCTCTGGGAAGATGAGACAGCCCTGGGAGGGTGGCCTTGCTGCTTTCCCTTCACTGAGCTGTGAGAAGCAGTCACACCTTGGGATTGTGAACATCCTGGAAGTTTGTCATCTGCCCCTCTCTGCAGCTCAAGAGGACACCTCTGTGGGGAAGAGTACCTGTCAGGCCCATTCCAGTGTGGGGTCAACTGATACCTACAGGTGTCTTTTGACATCCTTTTACTGTGGCTCACAGCCTCTATTAAACATTTATCTAGGTGGTTTGCCATAAGTGACTTTCCCCTGTGTGTGAGTCATTGAGCTTCGTTCCAAGGACGTGAGAAGATGGAAGTGAGGTCCTCCGTCTCCGACAGGTGGGGCCCCCAGTACACAAGTAGGAAGCTGGTGCACCATAACACACTGTGACACACACTGCGAAGAAAACAGACTAGCTGGCCAGGTGGAGCATACGCCGAGGGAAAGGGGTTCTGATTTAGGTGAGGTGTGAGCAGGTGCTTTTTGCAGACATGTTTTTTAGTGAGACACGCCTTGTGATTTTTACCGTGAGGTCCTTGTGGGCAGGGACTATGTCTTATTCACTTTAACAGCTCCAATGCTCACAATGGAGCCTGACACTTATTATGAAAAATTGGTATCATTTTTATGGCTTTCAATGAATGTTTGATGAATAAGTAAACAACCTCCTTCCAACAGCTCCTTTAAAGCACCAAGTTCTTAATCACAGGAAGACAACAACATCAGATAACTCTGACATTCTAGGCACAGCCTGTCTTTATCCCCACCATGCTTGTCTGCCCTTAGCTGATTTTTGCCTATAGCTCTACTGGATACTCAGATTGTTGAGTCCAAACAGGAAAGAACTTCCTCCCCCAACATTTACTAACCCCCCATTCCTGCAAATGCTAGAGATTTTCTCCAAGAAGCTATTAAGTGTTCCCAAATAGGACAACTCTCTCATTGACTATCACATGTTTCCTTAAATGATTTTTGAGTAGCGTTTTCTTTTTATTGCCTTGTGTAGCTTAACAGCACCAATTGCGATTATTCTGACTTACGACGGGCCCCAGATCTCTAAAGCTCTTGTTCATTCATTATTTTTCTCTTGCTCCTTCTCAAATGTTTGTTATTTTTTGGAATATAGTTAGGAGGAGGGGAGAGAAAATAAAATAAAAGGAGATATGAAATTAACAGAGAAACAAATGAAATAGGGGATCATTTCTCCCTGGGTGATAGACACCTTATTAGATGCTGTTAAACAAAACAAATATGTTTTAATACAGCACAAGCAAAGCTTTTATATTTATTCCGAAATGGAAATAAAGCAATCCCCACTTTATCTCTAGTGGAAGAAGTAGCTAATTGTCCCAATAGCTCATGAATTCTGACCACTTGGAGAAAAATAATAATTATTTTTTGGCTGTTTTACCAATTGTTCAAACCATACCAAGGTATGTTGTCTGGCATGAGCCAAGAATTCTGTTGCTTGACTGATGTCATGGCTGCTATTTCTGTTTAATTATTAACATGCAGGAGTTATAATTATTTTTGAGTATTGCTATGAGATAATTATAAACCATAAACAGTCCCTGTGTTTGCAAATGCCTTTTTTATCTGCAAATGAGTTGGGGTTTTATGAGACCTCAGTAGAACATACCTCTCTTTTGCTTCCTTAAACAGCACACAAACTTTAGAAGAGAGAAAATATTCTGTCTGGCACTTGACAAAGCAAGGCTGTCTGACCTGGAAGCAGGGGCCTCTCCCCGCTTCCCACTGCAACTTGGATCCTTCCAGGTGAACTAATACACTGCACATGACTTGTACTACCATTTTGTTAGTTGAGACTTGTAACTCATCACAGATCTTGGCTCAGCAACCCTGCCTTCATTTTCTTGGCCACTTAGAAGCTGGGGTCAGATACCTGGAGCTTCAAGATTCAAATGCAGCCCAGTTCCGTTTCTCTCTCTCTCTCTCTCTCTCTCTCTCTCTCTCTCTCTCTCTCTCTCTCTCTCTCTCTCTCTCTCTCTCTCTCTCTCTCTCTCTCTCTCTCTCTCTCTCTCTCTCTCTCTCTCTCTCTCTCTCTCTCTCTCTCTCTCTCTCTCTCTCTCTCTCTCTCTCTCTCTCTCTCTCTCTCTCTCTCTCTCTCTCTCTCTCTCTCTCTCTCTCTCTCTCTCTCTCTCCCCCCCAATCCCTAAGCGCCTTTGTTTCTCTAATGAGCTTCCCCAGCAAGAGAACATGTCTATTCAGCACCACGGACAGAGTCATGCTGTCAGGTCCCACAAATTAGAAGTTACTGCCTCCCACACTCTCTTCTGGACCTCAGTGTTGGGAACCGATGGTGATGAGAAAGAAAAAAAGTCAATGAAAAAAGAGTGATGGTCTTGCCACAAAATATGCAGCCTCAACCCCTGGCTGTGCTCAGCCATGGGGCTCCTACTGATGATAAGTGGCTTCTGGAAGCTGCTGTTTTCAGGAACAGGGAAGCAGTGAATGTAAGAGATAAGAGCTTCCTGGGTTTACTTATGCTCACCTAACTCCCAGCAGACTGCCGTCTTGGTGGGTTCGATGACAGGCACACAGCTAGCCAGGGTTCTGGTCTGGGCCACATACAGATACATGAGTGTCATGGATGGTGGGTTGGGAGGAGAGACAGCTATTGAATGTAAGGAGAAGGCACTGGGCTGTGTAGAGTGGAATCCATGGCCAGATGATAGGGGTGTTCTGTTTCTCTTTTGCTTGGAATGGGAAGGATGCTACAGGAGCTATGAGCCCTGATTATTTTGGGGGGGGGGGAGCAGCTAATGGCAAGCTGGGCTGCAGAGAAGCCAAAGCTCCATTTGTCTGACTTTAATGAATAAATGGCACCCCCAGCCACTGTCTATCTGCTTTTGAACCCTGACAAACAGTCTTGGCATCTGATGAAGAGGGTTATTAGTTTCATGGAGACAGATGGCTGGGGATGGAGAGGATTGGCTCTTTATTACAGCAGACCCATAAGTGACAGTGATATTCTCACATGCCAGCCCCCATGTCAAAGTCAATACCTTCCCCCAAGTCATCTGGGAGACAGGTGATCCTCAGGAAAGGTCCAGTGCTTGAAGAAGGCAGAACCATCCCAGAGTGGGAGACAGAATTCAGTGCGTGGAGTTGGGAAGGTAGGCAGGTCTTTAAGGGAGGCTTTGGGAGTATAATGCTTCCGTATTCTTTAGTAGAAATGATTCAAGAGAAAGAGGGAGAACTTCCGATAAGATGATGACAGGAGCAGATTTTGCTGGGCCGTACAAGTGGGTAGAAGAGCAAAGGCAGGGAAGAGAGAGAAAGAGAAGCAAGGGGCACCTGGGGGGGTCAGACAGCAAAAGAAGCACTGCACCAGGACCACTGTCCTAGGATTTGGCACAAGCTGTTTTCCCCTGTGCCAAGTGCACCATGAAGGTCAAGCTGAGGCTCCCACTCTCCTTCCTGAGCTGTCATGGGCTCCTTGTTCAGGTTCCTCTGCACCACAGTTGTAGGCATACCCTCCCCTCACTGTAGTACCCACGTGGGGAAGGGAGGTTCTCACTAACCTTCATTCATTCTCCGAAACTTGTCCTTGGCCATGTAGCCCAGTACCAGACAGCATCCTCTCTTCTGGAGGCCAAGCTCTGGAAGGAAAACATAGGTGGGTGAGTTGGGAATGGGTCAGATGTGAGGAGACTTCCTAGCAGGGGGCCGTGGATAAGCAGGGCTGCTTATTTAGCAAACATCTCTACAGCAATGATGTCCCAGGCATAACCTAAAGTCAATAGTTCTTGCTGGATCTTCTCAGCGTCAGGAGAAGCATGAGCATTACACTCTCCATTTTTTTCAACCTTCGTTTACAGATGTATGAGGCAAGTAGACTTAGCAGGTGCTGGAGTCAAGATTTTGAAGTTAGGTTACAGAATCCACTCTCATAACTATTACTTTGGGTTATATGGTCTTTTTATAGTCTAGTATTGGGGACCATGACCAAGTCATTCTGAGACTGTGGCCAGTCTAGCTGAACAAGAGTCCTTGGTAGTGTCCAGAGTGGGACAGCATGAGCAGACACAGCGATTGACCCAAGATGAATAGTGAACATAGAGAAGACACAGAGATGAGTGCTAGGCGGGATGTGCTCAACCTTCTGGAAGGGTGGGATTCTGCAGTTGCTGATTCTTGTGGTATTCCTATGGGCAGGCACTGTTCAGCAACATCATCTAGAACTCGGTAAGTGTAGACTTAGAGCACAGGGGTCAGCAGTGTTGAGGCACAAGGACTCATAGTATGGTTGACGTTCCCAGAAGAACAAGAAGAAAAGCAACTTCAGGTAGCAAATGCCAGACACTACCTTTTGCAGAGCATTTTATAAGCCAGCTTCTGTTGTGTATGAGTGCTGGACTTGAGTACATCTGCCTCGCTAGAAGTCAAGCCATGCACTCTGGTATTTGCCTTTTAGTCCTGAATTGTCTTGGGTTCTTTACGAATTCTGAAACAATTTCATATCCACTTTAACCTGACTCCTGTGGCAATGCTCTGTGGTATGTGGATGGGTCATTGCTGTCCATGTGACACAGATGGGGTGGGGTGGGGGCTCAACAATGTTGAGGGATTGCCTTCGATGCTTTTGGCTCCTCATCTCTACCTGCTTGTTCAGAAGCCTTACAAATGTGACAACTGTCCTAAACTGGGCAGATGGGCACCTGATGTTGTTCTAGAGGGCATATGGCTGCAGCCACAACCCCACAGAATATTGCCAGGACTCTTTCTGCATGACTGCTTCCACCCTTGTTCTCAGATAAGGAGGCTCCTACTGGCTGGTGTCACACTTGTCCATGGCATGCGAGTGTCCCTGGCCGTCCACCTGCAGGGGTCTTGGCCATCAGGGAATAGGCAGAGTGGGGTGATTCCTCCCCCTGCCTCTGCTCAGGATGCCCTGCATCCATCCGCTGCTGCTCAGGTCCAGTTTCCGAGGACAACAGGATGAGAAGAAGGGAGTGCAGGGCCCTGGAGAACAGATAAGCCCAGCTTAGGGGCTCGTGCCCTAGGGAAAACAAAGCTTGGCAGGTGGTGGTGAGATGCCGTAGCCCAGGGAGGTCACCAGCTTTGATCTCCTGATTCTTTAAAGGGATTTATCGACTATCAGTAAAGAGCAGAGAGGCAGATCCGAGGGTGCTGTTTCCAAGGCTCCCTTCCCTTCCTTTCCCCTGCACACTCACTCGCTCACTCATCTGAAGGCGCAGTCAAACCGCCCTCACTTCAAACAGCTTCACATCTCAGGCACCCAAATTGACACGTTAAGTTCTCCCATCCAAGGCCTTGGCCCTTTCTTCAGGGGCTCCTGTTCTGTCGAGGGCCATGTGGATCAAAGCCCCTTTGATGTTTACTTACTATATTTGTGGATTCCTTCTAATAGCCACCTCCAAGAGGCAGGAATGTAGCATGCAGAGAGGGGGCCAGTGGAAGTGCAGGGTGTCAGTAGGCTTCCAGCTTCAGCCAACAATACCTTTCTGCATGAGTGTGCATCTAAAGTCCAGGTGCTGCCAACAGGAAGACTTAGCCAGGCCATTAGAATGGTAGGCAAAGAAAGATGGGATTGGTGATGGTTCCTATTATATTTGCCACTGGCTTATACCCACCTAAAGCACATCAGCAGTGACTTTTAATGGAAACGGGAGCGTGGCTACTGGGCCTAGGAGGGACTCTAGGGTGCATTGAGGAAGGAGGGCTAATGCTGGAAGGATTTGGCTGATGTTTCCTCTGTCTTCTGGGCAGCTTCCCACGCTCTCAGGTGTGGGAACAGTTCTAAAGATTGGAGTATGAGTGACTTGTCATATCTGATTGTCCATGGGTTCTGTCTCTACAATGCAACCTAACTTATGTTATATGTCAAATACTAGACTACCTCCTGAGCGAATGGCAGAAGAGAGGCCGAGTGCTCATACAGTTATAAGCAAGAGTCTCTCTGACTATATTTGAGTTTTGTAAATGAGCAGGGAAATATGTTTTTTTAAAAAAGCTCTGATTAATAAAAGAAAGTGAGGACGAGGTAATTTCTCAATGTATTTGGCTCATTTAATTTGACACGTGTGGGTTAGTCTTAATTATTTAGGCGGCTACATTACAAGGCGCTAATAAGCACACTGCAGAAATTTATTAAGTGAGAGGGCTCTCTGACTGCGTCTTTGCTGAGAAGTGGGGAGACGCCATCGGTACCCTTTGAGAACGAATGAGCTGGAGAACTAGTGAAGTGAGGATTAGCTAGCTTGTCACACACAAAATTTGAGATTCGTGGAGTTAAATTAGAACTCACCAAATCCACACATGGAAGCCTGCAGCAGGGAGAGAAGTGGATGAGGGAGGAGAATGTGAGTGCTCCTCTGGGGAGGAAGAGCATTGTCAGGGATGCTGACCACACTCGGACCAGGGAGGAAGCAGGAAGTTATTATGTGGGCTTGGGGAAACATCCAAGACAAAAAACAAAACAAAACAAACAAAAACCACCCACGGCTATTAGGGGAGAATACAATACCACACTTCAGAGAGAGTGTGACTCTGTCTTTGTGAGGAAGTCCAGCCACCAGCCAGTCCCCTTTCTTGTCTCTGAGACAGACAGTAGAGTGAAATCAGATGTTAGTTTTGAACCCCCAAGATGGAACCCCCTCATGGAAAATGAATGAATGGAGCCTTGGCTTTAAAAGGCTGTTCATAGCAAAGTTTAAAGGCATGGGTGGTTGGGTTGTAAGGGCACTGTCTGAGGAGGACAAAGGCTTAATCAGTGCTATGTGCACAGAAACAGCTATTAGGACAGGGATGTTTCTTAAGGAGAAGGGGTGTTTGGCACCCTGGGAACTTTGGGGCTATGGATTGTGAACAACGGAAAGATCAGAGTTCTTTTTTCAGCCCTGAGCCCCTACTACTAAATTTAGTGTCTAACACATGGCAAGTGCTGGGCCAGAGGATGGCTGAGTTAAAGGAAGGGCAGATTCAGAAATGTTAGGATGAGCAGTTCTCCCTGACCCAAGTAGAAAGAGCTTAGATGCAGCAGGATGCATTTAGGTTAGGTTGGGTTGCTTGCCGAGTGAATGAAACTTGTAATTCATCCAAACAGGGAACTGCTCCACAAGTAGGGAACACTGTGAGGTTTTCTCCAGGGAGGGATAAAAATGATGGTTTTATAAATGGAGCGGGCTTCTTCAGCTTGCAGGCTGTGGACGGGGCCCTTTCTAGCCTCTGGATCTTTTATTCTCACTACTACTAATCATGGCGTGGCAATGCTGCATCCCATTTGTAGCACACTTGTTTTTTTTTCACAATGCTTTCATATTTACTATCTCATTAGATGTTCACAGCAGCTTGGCAAAGTAAGCAAGGTGGAAATTATTTCTTCCATTTTGAATTTAGAAAGCAAGGCTTAGAGAACTAAAATGATACTTCAGGGCCAAAGGCGTAGCTGTTGTTGGTCCTCACCCTAGAAGTCAGGGCTGGTTTCAGGGTTAGTTCTTAGGGATACCATGACTGTAGATGCTGTAAGTCAAAACAGATCAGAGGATACCAGAGATGAATTGGGTATACCCTCTCCTACTCATATCTCAAAATATCATTTCACCTACTCCCAATGCCCACCAAAGCCCTCATCCTTATGTGATCTTATGTGGAAACTGGACTTTGCAGAGGTGGTCAAGTTAAAATGAGGTCATTAGGATTGGCCCTAGTACAACATCACTGGTGTCCTTATAAAATGGGAAGTTGAAAGAAAGGGGTGAAGGCAGGAGGGAGGGAGAGAGGAATGACACATGAACATGAAGATGGCCATATCTAAGACAGAGGGAAAGAGATCTTTAACAAGTCCTTCTCCTATTGCTTTCAGAAGGACTCAAGTTCGCTGACATCTTGATCTTGTGGGCCTAGCCTTTGGAATTGTGAGGGAATGCATTTTTCAGTGTCAGTCACCACTGTGTGATACTTTGTTATAGCAGCACTCGCTAACTCATACAGACAAGAAGTGGAAGAGCTGGCTGTACAGAGGACCTTGGCTATTTCCAGTGACTGTGATTCTCTTCATCTCCTTCATTTGGTCACACAGCTACACTTAGTGAAGAGTGTCACATGACTGCTTAGTGTGCCCCAAAGGATGGGAGAGCACTGATTGGGGCGCTGCAATTGGACAGCAGATTTGATGGGCACAAAGGTGCCTGCACACCCAATAGCCAAGTTATAAAATCATCTGAGGTGTCCATCAACAGATGGCTGGATGAAGAAAATATGTCACACACACAATGGAATTTTATTCAGCCATAAAGACGAATGAAATTATGTCACTTGTGGAAAAAGACAGTTGAGCTGGTGATCATTACGTTAAGTGAAATAAGCTAGACTCAGGAAGATATATCACATTTTCTCTTATGTGCAGAATCTATACTTAAAAAAGACAAGAAATCAGAAGGGGGATTATTTGGGAAGAGAAAGGTGAACAAGGTAAGAAGGGAGGGTGCAAACGAGAATATTATCAAGGTTTGTTATATATGTGCACAAAAACATCACAATGAAACCCATGATCTTGTACAATTAATGTATCTGAGGAAAGAAAAAATTGAAAGCAAGGGATTAGCATTTTTCCTTTCTGAAACTGTTTAGCTCCAGC